CTCAGCGGAGAATTTAAGGAAAAACTGCAAGACAGAAACGAAAAGCAGCAGCGGTTCATTGTGGTGCACGACAGCAAAGTTGAGTATGACGTACTGTTAGGCTACGACTTTGTTTCGAAGTTTCGCGTTACAATTGATGAAAATGGGCTCAAATTTGCATTGCCGCCAGTGGATGATAACTCCATTGAGGTCAACGAGTTAAGAGTACACGATGTGGTCGAAATTACGGTAGATATTAGTTCACCATCGCAGTTCAAACCGGTGATCCAGTCGCTAATCAACAACTATCAGCCGGTTAAACCGAATGTTGAGTGTAATGCTTAAGATTATTCCCGACGGAAACATCACACCGTTCCGTCAGAAACGGCATTGTGCGCAGATCGTCATAAAATTTTTGCAAGTAGGGTGGTAACTGTTAGAAAAAGAACGGTTCTTTTAGAGTTTGCGTTGACTTCCGTCAATTAAATAGTATGGTAGCTTCCAAGTACCGCTTATCGACGACGTTCTAGAGAACCTTCAAGATAATTTACTGCTTTCGTCACGAAAGAAGGACTATATGAGTTCAATAGGGCTCCGTTCGGCTTTTGCAACTCCCCCGCGGTGTTCATACGTTTTGTCAATTGCGTGTTCCAAGAAATGATCACTCAAGACGTAATGCAGCTTTAGATGGATGATATCATCATCTATGCTCAAACACATGAAGAGTGCACAGAAAAGCTGAAGCTGGTTTTAGAGGTGGCCGCCAGATTTAGCCTTAAGATTAATTGGAAGAAATGCCACTTTCTAAAGACAAGGATCGATTTTTAGGGCCATAGGTAGAAAATGGCAAAATTTGGCCTGATAGCAAAAAAACAAACGCCTTCAGACATTTTTCCACGCCGAAAAACATTAAAGCTGTGTAGTCGTTCCTAGGCTTAACGGGATTTTTTTCGAAAGTTCATTAGAGGCTATGCACAGTTGGTTCCGAATTAGATTCGATAAGACAATCAATATCAATGCCGAGAGCCTGTTTTAAAAATTAAAAAAAAGAGGGCTTTGGCGCAACGCTGCGGCAGAAATTTGACCAACAACTGCACCCTGTATTTTTCTGGAGCAAGAAAACGTCGCCAAGTCACTCTAAGCGCCACAGTTACATATTGGATCAGCTTATTTGGCTATACAAAGGTTCCGCCATTATCTTCTTTGTGTCAGGTTCACGTTGGTAACAGATTGCGTAGCATTCACGCAAGCCGTCGGGAAAAGGCATACCACGAGAAGTAGCCCAATGAATTTTGCACCTACAAGATTTTAATCTTGAAGTTGAACATCGAGCTGTAGATAAGTTAAAACATGTAGGCTAGGTGTATAATAAACAATAAGAAATTGGGTAGGCAGGAAGGGTATCTACGCTGTATCGACAAAGGAGATCGGCCCTAACATATGCTGCACGTTGGCCATTTGGGCCCTATGGACGCAGTACAAGTTTATATTTGCTATGGTAGATGGCTTTCCAAAGTTTGTGTGGCTGTTTACGACGAAATCTACCAGAGTCCCAAAATAATTATTATCCTAATATTTGAGATCAAAAACGTCGCCTTGTTTTAAGAGAAATTTGTTTCATCTTTATATAATAATTATTGACGAGAAATATCTTTTTTCGTCTCGCGGGACGATTAATTCCAGATGGAAATTATATACGTCTTTTCATATTAATTATATGGGATTTTTATTTTTCTCGTCTCGGAACGTATATTAAATACGTTAAATATTTAACGCGTCAAATCTCCGAACTCAATTAAGAAGTTCAATTTCAATAAAAGTTCCATATAATTATTATGAGACGACGTAAATCATTTCTGTCGCGAAATAAATTATTATGAGAAGATGAAAACAATTTACATCTTAAAATAATCGTCTCGCGAGACGGTAACAACTTTTGCATTGTTCAGTAATAACTATGATATGTTATAATCGTCATGGTCTCTGAAATCTACTGGTTGCGAAAAAATTATAAAAGAAGTTGGACGAACATATTTGGCTTGCCTTTGCGTATAGTAAGTGACCGGGGAGCAGCGTTCCCATCAAATGCTTTCGAGGAGTATGTGAGGGCAAACGGTGTAGAAAATGTTTGGTTTGGTCTACCAAGGGTGTTGCCTGTGGCAACGGCCAAATCGAACGTATCAATCGATCGTTCCCATGACAGTCGGGTCTACGTAACCGGAACGACCCAGATTTATATCTGGCCAAGGACACTCCCCAAAAATTTTTTGGGGAATCTGTATGCTGTTACAACAACAACAACAATGTATCAATCGATCTATTATCTCTGTCGTTTCGAAACTGTCTGCAGAAGATCCGTCTAAGTGGTACAAGTTTGTTCCACAAGTCCAAAAAGCAATAAACTCCCATAGTAATTGCTCCAAAAAAAGTCGGCGTTTGAATTAATGTTTGGTGTGAGAATTCAAACCAAAAGCAGCGATAGTTTATCTCATTGCTGGAGCAGGAGATGATAGATGACTTTGAATTGGAAGTTAAAAGGCACAAGCGTAGGCTAAAGTTGAAATACAGCGAGCTCAAGATATTTATAAAAAGCAGTATAGCAGTATATGAACAGAGATGGAATAGTATGAATAGTTTGTCTTTTTGATCCCGCTTACTATTTCTGCCTGTACTTTCTCACCCCTCAGAGATATTATTTCAGAGATTTAATTCACGTACCTTCATCCCTTACTTCCGAATTTTTTGAGATGTCCGGGGATCATTCTGAGCTATTAGTTCCAGCATCTCACAGAAATTTCCATTATTGGGTAACTCGAGAATCTCACCAGAGCCAGGAGAAGCGAAGCTAGGTTCCGCACGATGTATGGATGGTGCTGACAAGTCTTCTTAATACCTAGCGATCTTTTCTGTAATTTGTGAAATGTTTTTTTTTGTGTTTCGTCATCACATCTGGTTTCGATAGCAAAGAACCAAAATGGTTGCTTGATAGCCAATTTATTTAACTTTAAATTTTGTGAGTGGTGTATAGTGCTCTTGACGTACTGGTGAACTTACCGTCACTTTGTGTCATCATACGTGGCCACCTGCAGACTAAAAAGAAGCGGATGTTGGTATTACAATTGTGCCTTTTCAAATCTACAGGATAGTACGCCACCATTACCTTTGTTGAAGAGATTCTAGAGGGAGTGGTTTCTTGAGGGGAAATGCTAGTCTAATTCCAGCACTAAGCCCGCACTCGTACATTGTCGAATCTTCACTGGTGGCTCTAGAACTGACTCAGGGTCAGGATCTGGAGGGGAAGGAGTTTACGTGTCAACGGTACAGCCAAGCTGCACTTAAGTCATTGGCCAGCCCTCTATCTGAGTACTTCCAAACTAGTTCGGCAATGCGAGTCTCGACTAAATTATGTTGGTTAAGATAACGAGCTTGCTTTACTCTGGGTTCGGGGGAAATCGGGAGTGCCTGGAAATGAGCCATCTGACCCTTTGGCCACAGTTGGCTTAGAACAGTCATTCCTCGATCCGCGACCAGTCATAGCACTCCCCACTTTGACCATCGAAGCCACTATCAGAAACTAGGTGGATACTTCGCTCAGCAATTACTGGGAGCCATCGAGTGGATGCTGGTGGGCAAAACTCATGTTGCCTTCAGACTCAGAAGGTCTATCTAGTTTTTTTCCTTTCACAGAGAAGACGGCACTTCTGACTTGTCACTTCACGTGGCACAAACACCTGACTGTGATAGGCGTAAATGACAACTCCATTTGCCCATCCTGCTGTGAAAAGGATGAAACGGTGGAACACTTCTGGAGCTTCTTGCTTGCTTGTTTGTTTATCATCGATTTATCTAGATTCGGTCTTTTCTTTTTTGTCAGTTTCTGAATTTGAAGTTTGGCGTAAAAAGCTTTGCAGTTTTATGTTTTAAAAATGCGCGTGGCGAATATTTTTCGCATCATGATGCCATCAACACAAATAAACTGTTTGACAAATACATCACTTGCAAATTCATGAGTGAGCCGAACATGTGAGGAGTTTATTTAATGCTCTTAAGAAATATAACTCCTCAGGGCGAGATAGTTCTTTCATGGCTTTACGATCTCTGTTTTTTTAAACTTACAAGTGTGTAATCATATTATTTTAATAAATAAATAGAACACAAGAAAATATTTATTTTTATTTTTGCCACTACGAATTTAGCTTTGGAACTCACTCGCGATGCAAACTTATATCGTTAAATTTAATCTTCACATTTTTTGAGGGGCTTTGGGAATATGTTAGAAATGAGCATCAGGGGGTCCACCAAAACCAGTAAAGTTTTGGAAGGGGTCTACGAGAAAAATAAGTTTGGGAACCTCTGGTTTATATGTATGCACATATATATGTACGTACATAATCGATAACGGTACTAAAATGCATTAAAAAAAAACGAAAACATTATAGGAAAAAAGGAAAGCACAGATATACTATCACTGAATAAAGCATTACTAAGCCATTTTTACCTCCCTTTTATTAGCTCGGGATGTAACTATGTAATATTGATGCGCCTAAAAGATGCAGCGATTTCTAGTCCCAAGTTACATACTTTATGACAGTACGAATGAAAATATAAGAGCGAGGTTTTAGTTTTTTAAACTATAATTTTATTTATTCGATTATAATTTACTTATGACTTTTGGAAAACTGATTTTATGTCCTTTTTTATGAAGATCAAATATTTTTTTTTTGCCTCACAATCGAATAAGAGCGTGGGTAAATGAAAGTTTTTTTGAAAAATTTACGTTTTTTTTTAATGAAAATACGAATACTAAGCCTTTCTCCAGCCGACTTTTTTCTTTGTTAGAAAGGTAAATCCCAGTTAAATTCGACCGAAATACAACAAAGCTATAACTTCTTGGAGTTGTATAACAAAACATAATTTCTATATGATAAGCCCTGCATATTTTTTTGTGTAGCACAGTGTAATTAACCAAAATTATTGTAATTTAACTAATTTTTATTACTTTTCTTCTGTTGGCTTCTTAGTGCAGGAATCACCCAAAGGTATACCTGATGATGCACCGAAAGTTATTTCCAATGATATTCGTCATGACCAAAACTTGGATGGTATTCAGAGTAACAAATTGGACTTGCCGAATACTTCCTCTGCTTTAGAAGCACTAAAAGAAATTTCTCCCAAAAAGTCGTCTACGAAAAACTCTCTCTTGGTACGTGTGTATTTAACGCTTATGTCTGTCTCCTTTAACTGTGTGTTTTTTTTTGTAGCTATCCCCACCTGATCGCAAATTAACAAATAACAACAGCAGTCCGAAATTACGTCCTAAACCACCGGCACACCTAACTGGACGAGGAGCGCAATTGATAAACATGATACGTAATAGAAAAATAGATGCACAATCTCCACAAACTCCGATGCCAAGGTTGTTTGTGGCCAAGAATGATAGCATGGATCGCTCGTTATCGGATGTGGATGTAATAGAGCATACATCAACACCGCTGCAAGCTAAAGATATTCTAACATTTACTAAACGGCTCCCTTCTCCCTCTGCCAGCCCTTCAACTAGCATTTTGAAACGAAGTCTTCGCAGAGATAGCCTTGAAGAAATAGCTTTGGACTCACCAGCTTGCAAAAAGAAAAGAGTTAGTTTTCATGACCCTCCAGTCTCAGTTACCAAGGAATATATTAAGTATAATGATGAAAACAAAACTAAACCTAAACGGTAAGTTTGTTGCAAGATGCATAAATAAACACTTTAAACTGACCACAAATTTTAATACTTTCTCCTACCACTACACCTCTTTAGTTGCCTTATTATGGACAAAATTCAATCGAGTGCTGAGAGAGCCTCAGAAAATAAATATACTCTAAAGCGGCGAAGTAAACTTGACAGCATTATTGAAATCGAGAAATTTGCATCTCAACAATCTAACAAAGCACAAGATCTACCTACTAATTCCGAGGTTCAATCGGAAGATTTGGATGATGACATGGATATTGTGACGGATGAAAATAAACCTAGCGAGAAATTTGCAGCAGAAGAACTTTCTCATAATACCTATGATCAAGCAACGGTGGATATTAGTATTGACTTGGGATGTTCGAATAATCTACTTGAAATAGCGATTCATAGATATACATTGGAAGAACTATTAGAAAAATATTTAGAATCTGCAAGTAATTCAAAACTAAAGTGCTATAATACAATGGCGAAAATGATATCGAGAGGAATGAGTGGCGAAGCTAAAATAAAAGAAAACGTCCTCGAAGCTCTTTCAGAAAATCACTCTAAGGATTTCCTAGATCATGCAATAAGAGAAAATCTTGCATCAGTGGTATGCGATCGATTAAATTTACCCTCTGTTATTGAATACGTATGTGAAAAATCAAAAATCAATACGTCTTGCAGAGCAAATTTGTTTTCGCAGATTCCGGATATCTTAAAACATTGTAAACAAGACGCTGAGCGCTTAAAACTTATACATACACTATTGAGTAATATCACTTTAAAAGATACCGACCTTTTGGATTTGATCAATATTTTGTTACGTCAACGATCTATGGAAAAAAACAGTTCAGTAACAGTATCAGAAGCAGCAATAGATTCTTCATCAAACCTTTAATATATCACATGCATTATGTATTTAAATAATTGTATCATACAAGAATGTTCTTACGTTATATATGTCTATATATGTAGATTGAGGAAAATACAATTTCTTAGTATGACCAAAAAATCCTACTTGTGGTTGGCGAAGTCTCAAATGTACCAATCAAATTTAACGAAAAGTTCAGCTTCATCATACACTTTTTAAGTTAAATTTTTACATACATATGTGGGCAATTCTCAATTAGTTCGAACTTTCGCATGATTCGACAGTTTTTATTCGGTCACACAATTTTCGCTGGTTTATTAACAAACATCAGTAGCTCGTTTCTGTAACAATTTTCTACCAAGGCGAATTGAGATATGAATTCACCTCCCTGTTCTCTACTGCTAATGAGTAGTAGAGAATGACGTATATTCTCTACCAGTAGATAAATAATCGGTAGAGAAGAGTTACAGAAGCGAGCTACAGGTTACATATCAGTGTTCGTATGTCAGGAAGCTGGCTTTAGTATAGTGCGGCATTGCCTTTGCCCAGCAAACACAGTTAGTCTGACGTTAGAGAAATTTGGATTTCTGCATTAGATAACTAGGGTAATTCTCTAATCGTTGTCGAGTCGATGACGAAGTTAGAGAACTACATTTGAATTCGATTCGAGAACGATAAGAGAAACAACGCAAATTCAAATAAATGTAAATAACCAATATTCCAATTAAAAATTATTTTTAAGTTCAAATAATCCATTATTATTTTATTGCGAATATATTTAATACAAATTTTGCAAACAATGCGTTTTATTAAATAAAACAAAACAGCAGTTTGAAATTCACATTCGAATCCCATTAGAGATCAACATTAGAATTCGATTAGAGAATTAATATTTTCTCGAGTCGAGAACTATGTCCCATTTTTGTTGAGATCGCTATGCTTCTCGGTAGTTTTTCCAGTCGTTCTCGCGTTTAAGTATACGTTCTGCGTTCTCGACTAATTTCAGCTTTAATCGGCTCGTATAAGGCTAAGGTTATATTGAGAATCCCAACGGAAATTTCTTAAAGCAAAAAGTAGGAATTGTTTTTGAGTTGATTCTATCTTGTCAGAGTAAATTTGATACCTTGGATTCCAAACCACCGGACCGTATTCCAGAATCGGTCTAACTGATGTTTTAAAAAGGGGTTTAGTGATATAAGGGTCACAAAATTCTTTTGACCATCGTTTCTCAAATGCAAGTACACCTTTAGCCTTGTTTACTGTCACAATAATGTGAAGATTAAAATTAAGCTAAGGATCCATTGTGATACCAAGGTCCACAAAATTGTATACCTGTTCCAGGTTATGGTTACCTATTGTATAAGAACAGCTCTTCGCGAGAAGCACATTACTTTACATTTCTTAAGATTTAGAGACATAAGATTTACTTTAAACCAGTAAGCCATGCTGTTTAAGTCTGATTGTAGCAAAGACCTTTCTTTAATTGAAACGTACGATTTATAAAGCTTTACATCAATTGCATACCTTAAAATTTTGAAAAGTTGTATATCTGTAGAAATATTGTTTATAAAAAGCAAGAACAGAACCGGGCCTAGGTGGCTACCTTGAGGAACTCCTGAAGTAACATTAATGACGTCAGAGATAGTATTTTTAAACATTACCCTTTGTGATCTATCATAAGGTATGAAGAGATCCAACGTAGAAAATTAGGTTGAAGACCAAGAAGATCAAGTTCATAGATGAGCAACGAGTGGCACACTTTGTCAAATGCTTTACAGAAGTCAGAATATATAACATCAACAGTTTTGCTTTCACTAAATGCTTTTGAGATATAGGATATTAATTCAAGTAAATTTGTAGAAGTTGATTTGCCCTTGCAAAATTCTTGTTGACTGTATGAAATGCTAGAAGAGATAGAATGCGGCAACAGATTTGTTATAATTGCTTCAAATAATTTAGGAATTGCAGAAAGCTATTTCCCGGCAGTTCTCCACTGAAGATCTGCTGCCGCTTTTATGTAACGGCGTTATGAACGATTCCTTTCATCTAGTTGGAAAAACGCCCTCCTTAAGAGACAAATTAAATAACGCTGTTAACGGTTCATAGAGATAATCATCAGAATTTGTAAGAATACAAGTACTGATCTGGTCAGGACCATAACTGAAGGACCTCTTTAAGGACTTCAGGTAAACTAATACATCAGCGGGAGATATTACTGGGATATTTATTGAGTGCATTGGACATAGTTTAAAAGGATAGCCAATGTTAGCATGTGATTTACTGCTTCGAAAACGCAAGTACGCACACATCTGTGCGATTTTATCGCAATAAAAACTGTCAATTTATAGACACCCAAAAAATATTTTTCCACAAAATATAAAACCCTTAACTTTTCAAATATGTCTTTTTTTCTTACGTTAAATTTTGTTTTAATCATATATGTAATACTTCTATATTGGCAGTAAGCTAACTTCTCAATGTGTAAGCATTCCGAAATCAAAGCGAGGCAGTCTACCCAGCAAACAATTAGGTTTAATATACATTTGAGAAGCCTTTTTCAAATGCCAAACGTTTGAAAATGATTTGATATTGATTTGAAAATTACAGCTTTCTCAATAAAAAGGGGAGTTTGATCTCCATTTGAGAATATGTTTAACTCTCAAATCGATTTCAAAGGTTATTTATCAATTGTACTTCAAATGTGGAAATAAAATTTATTATAGGAAATGTACATATGTATGTTAAACAATTAAGATAAAGTAATTTATAATAAATTTGTCTTGAAGGGCTGCAGCTTCTTCAATCCGCGCAAACATCAAATCCACTATTTGTGGGCTTTCTCTTTGAAAATTTGTTTCTATTCATTGTATTTTTTAAATTGATCTTAGTTTTATTTTTACAATTTTTGATTTAACTGCGCATTTTATATAGTTTGACACTTGCCATCTTTCTTCAAATCAACCTCAAATTAACTTCAAATGTAAAATTTAAACCACGTTTTCAATTTGAGAATCATTTGAGAAAAACATTTAATATCAAATTGAGAAATATATTTTTCTCAAACGTTTGAAACTGTGTTTGCTGGGTAGTACCGTTTTTGTCAATGTATTGTGTATTTGAGTGGCGTTTTTGTATATGGGTTGTGTACATGTTTATTTATAAACGTATGCGTTCCTTTTCTTTCGTACGTGTTTATTGATATATCTTTACTGTAGTGTTTTCGGACGGTACTAGCTCTTACTGCCAATATAGGAGTATTACATATATGGTTTTAATATTGTAAAATCCTTCTATTGACCTTTTTCGTTCTCAAAACGCGGCAGTCTGCGATTTCTGCACGACAAAGAGAAGAACTGTGAATGTTCGAATAAATCGCTGCAGCAAAATCGTATAAGTGTGTGGTTCCTGATCTAAAACTATGGTCGGCGTTGCTGTAAATTTTGTCGGATCAGATTCGCACCGACAGAATCGCCTAGGTGTGTGGATACCTTAATGCAAAAAACTTATGGCGCAAAAGTGAGTATTTTACATAAGGAGTGTTCGCTATGAATAAAATTTGTACAAGTTGGTACCAATTGTTACCAAATCGTGTTCGTTTAGCCAAAAACTTAGTAAAACTTGCAAGGAGAGAGCACAATTTTGACATTTCATTTGGAGGGGAAGTTGCAAATTCGTGCTGGGAAAATTTTTGCCAGTAAGAATTTGCAAGCAGGATTGTGGCACACGGTTGCATTTTTGTCAACATTAATTTCAATCAACGAGTTCGTTAAATTTAAAAATGAACAATCTTGTTGCGATTTACTAATGAAAGAAGTATGTAAATATTCATTTATTCAATTAATTTAATTAATTCCAAACATTTGAAAGGTACTCGGCTGAAAAAGCTGTATTCGTAATCGGAACGCACTCGACACTACTGTCGATATAGGAAATCCGACATTGACTTCCAGAATGAAATTGAAGCGTTGAAGAAAGTCAGAATAAGAAGAAATATACGTATAGGTGCTGTTTTGGTTTCCACCTGAAATAATTTAAAAAATTTATTATGCTCGAAATGCAACCGTGGCCGCCAGCTGGCAGTGAAGCTTGCTAATGTTTGCAAATTCCTTGTTCGCGCAAAACTTAGTAAGTTCCTCTCTTTGGGAGAGTAAGGTACCGTGTTCCCTGAATTTTATTACTGGCTAATTCTTACTGGCAGTTGCATAGCGAACACTCCTAATGTTTGCAAATTCCTTGTTCGCGCAAAACTTAGTAAGTTTCTCTCTTTGGGAGAGTAAGGTACCTTGTTCTCTGAATTTTGTTACTGGCTAATTCTTACTGGCAGTTGCATAGCGAACACTCCTATAGTATGAGTGTAAACCGGTTTTTTTTTGTGTAATCGAAAATAACGTGGCTCTGTTTTTCAAATTTCTCGGTTCTTTAGTGAACCATAACTGTGTTTGTTCTTCAGGAACATACATGCGTCTAGGCACATGCTTTCAAGTAATTTATGTTAAGTAAAGTTAAAACGTGCAACGCTTGGTTCAATATTTTCTTTATATGCAGGCCACGACAATTTAGACAGTTCGTTCTTTGATAAGCTTTTTAAAGTTGGCTTTCGACAAATCAAAGCGAATATTTGGTTCGTATGCTTGGGTACCGCAATTTTGACCATCACTTATAAATTCGTAAGATATCTCATAGCAGGTAGACATCTTCGGGCAAAACTAGTGGATCACACTTATTTACAACGGACTTAGAAGCATCATTAACATAAACAAGATCTAATACTCTACCAAACTTATTGTGAAATATTAACCTGAGTTAGGCAGAGTTCAGCCATCTCCTCTAAAAAGACGTTGTTGCACGCGCTAGACGCGATAGGCACGATATCATTGTCAATGATGTTCCATAATATGCTTGGTAAATTAAAATCACCCAATAAAATCATTGAATCAGAAGGTTTAGTCAGTAAATTAACTGATTTCAGTAAAGAGATGAGTCGTGAATACACCAATGTGTAAGATCGGGGAGGGATATAGCATAGAGCTAAGTAAATAGACAATTTTCCAACCTGGACACGAATGCATTTGAATTCTACTGAAGCAATGTGTGGAAGACTAACTTCTTCAGATGGTATTGAAGAGTTTACAGCGAAGAGTACGCCACCGTCGATTCTGTCCTCCCTATCTTGTCTATAAATATGATTGTATAAGCGGGCGATCCAAACGTTGCATTACCTGGAATTAGTATAATTAAATCTTTATTATTCTTGAATTTAAAGAAATGTGTACATATTTTGAATATCGATGTACATGTATGAAAATTGTACTTGTAATCTTAACTTATCTTTATTAACTCATCTGTACATCTAAGGGTTAATGGATAACCCACCAATGTGCGCTCTAAAATCTCTCAATTTACGTCTCAACCTTGAACGATGGTAATCCTACGCCAATTCAGCAAAACGGATCAAATGTCAAAAATTACGGTCGGCCATGTTGTTAAGACAAATTTTTTCCACCGAGCCGAAGAGATCTATTTGCGCAAATAAAAACCGAATTTTTATGTTTTACTAATTAAATTGAACTGTATCGAAGTGAAA